TAAATATTTTATATATTATATACAATATTATTTACTTATATATGTATATTTATTTTAATTTATTGTGTATTTTTCTATATTATATGCTGTTATATCCTATAAACATTATAATAAAAAAAAATAAAATAAAAAATAATAGAAAAATAAAGAAGTTAATAACAGAAAAATCAAAGCTAAAAATAAAATATTGTATGTACGAGATGAGTAACTTGATTTCGCGATCTGGAATAACTTTAGTAATTATTACTGTAAATGCTAATTATTACAAATTCTCAAATCTGAAATATATATACTCTGCATGTAATAAAGAAATAAATACACAGAGGGGATGCTGCATCCCTCTGTGGCTACGCCTCTGGCCGCTGGCGTCTTCGTACAAGTTACGAGGAGAACAGCCAGGCCGAACAATGATCCCGAAATGTCGCCGTGCTCGTTCAGATAAACCGGTCTTTAAGAGGCAAGCGAGGAGATCGAACCCGTGTCACTATGCCTGCCTCCGTACCGACTCACTTATTTTTGGTCCGCACGAATTCAATGGCAAGTAATACTAGCTGGCCGTTCGCCAGCGGCGACACTTTACCGCCTTCGACAGTTTCGCTTTCAGATACTTTGATTTAATGAGCTATGGATATTCTTATTAAATCGGTATCGAACATCGAGACTAGTTACTACTCTTCGTGCAAACAACAAATTACATGATTAATTTTAAATAATTATATACATATATAATTAGATATTTATAAGTTTATAACAGAGTAATAGAGTTTTTGTGAATTTAATTTCTTCGACATGATATAATTAAAATTAATTAAAAATTTATTGTCTGTAATAATTTAAATATAATGTCTGAGTGTTAAAAGAAGATTTATTATCTCTAATCTGCATAAATGTGTATGAATAAGTTATCCAATGAATTGTGATAAATTTAATTAATAAGAATCAACATTAATATATGAATGACAATGAGAGAGATTAATTTTTTTTATTATTTCTTGGAAAAATTTATTAATTTATAAATAAATTATTTATAATTTGAAAACGTGAAAAATATTTAATAATAATCTAATTCATGTAAGAAATATTTTTGATTATTTTAAATTGGTTTAAATATTTCTGATAAATTGAAAATTCATTTCCCTAAGATAATTTGAAATATTGAGATTTTAATTTTAATATTATATATTTATATATATAAATTCTCTCTTATGATAATTCTGATAAAATAATATTAAAAATCCTCCATCTTGAATGAAGTTTTACGATTATCACTACAATAAACTCCGAGATAATTGAAGAGCCTTGACATGATCGATTCATGATAAAATCGCAATAATAGGCATGTATCGGCCGAGATATACAAAAACTACAAATTCAACAAATGTATATCATGAGAAATCATTTGAAATATAATCGCGAATATAAGTATTGTATATTTGAGTAAAGTATTTTTTATTTGAGAAAGTATATTATATTTTTCCAGATATGAAGGAAAGACAACAGAGTCAGATATAAGAATGTAAAGATTGATTGAAATAATGCTTAGAAATATAAAATTGCAAATGGCGGTTTGCAAATATTTCCTATATAGTAATGCATAAAAAATATATATATATATATAATGACATCGACGTAATTAATAATTATAAAACGACAATATACCTGGTGATAACCGTGCATCAGTTATGCTTTCGGCAAAAGGTTAGCTTGAAATATGTAAAGAGGATTTCGAGAACACACAGAAGCACGATGTCGTCGAGGATCGTTGATACTGAATAACTCGCTATTTCGGTATTTGCGCGGCGATTGCGCGCGTGTTCGACGAGTTATACGACAAACGATTGACGCTTTAGACACCCGCGATTAATTTTCGTGCACTACATTCACTTTTAAACGATGATAATTGCGGGAACGCGACGGAGTAATTCTCAAACCCAAACTCTGTGATCCGTGACGACGCGCGTTTTGATATTCGAGAATCGCAATATCGAAATATCGAGCGATCGAAGCGACGCACCAATCACAGCTCGCAACAACTGCAGGTCTGTTCATTCTAGTTACATTTTGTAACTAATAATTTAATTGGAAATCGTTTGCAAGAGAAAGAGCTGGAAAGAGCAAAGAAATACATAAAGTTTAATTACAAATGAGCATTGATATTTTTTTCTTCACATGACTTTATCTTTTTCATTGCTATTTATAATTGCTTTGGATTATTTCTTTTTTTTTTTAATTGTAATATCTGCCGAGAAAGAGAGAGAGAGAGAGAGAGAAAGAGAGCAAGAAAGAAAAAAGAGAGAAAGATGGCATTAGTGCATAACAAATGTCCCAAGCTACGTGCAACTCCTGTCAATGCAGTTATTTACATACAAAATGGAATTGTCATTGAACTGTCTTCAAACCCCGGTTAATTTGAACGTTGATTGATTATATTAGGGTGACCACAAGCATGTATCATATACGAGAATTATAATTGCTAGAAATATGTTGGTCACCCTGTAAATCAACGATTAAATTAATCGGATTTTGGTCAAGGTGGCTGTTACAAGTTAATTTAAACTTATTTGCAATCCTTGATTTTAATTAAATCTAAATCTATTTGCCATTTCTTATTGAAAAATTTATTTAAAAAATGCGTCATTATCAATATAACTTCAAATAATTATCATTATTAACTTTAAATATATAAATATATAATAAATGTATAAATATGAAATAATATTGTATATCAATTGCAAACAGTTCACAGAGTGAAAATATCGTATAAATTTTCATAATAAATATATTTTTATAATAAATATTTACATAATAAATACTTTGCATATTCTGCAATTAATTTTATCTTTGGTTTATTGTGTGCAGTTATTTTCTGTCCAACAGTGCAAAGTGTATTTTATACGATTGTAGATACATATAGCTTGTAACTTTAATGAAAAAACAGAAAAGATATTTGTATACATGGGATGTCACTTGGATAATGGAAAAAGTTTACTAGTTCCAACAGAATTATATATTTTCAAGATGATATGGCTTTTCTTTGTTATCCATGGAATATTAGCTAGTAATGACAACATGATTCTGAAAGATTTAGGAGAAAAAGAGTATTTTTTAATAAAAGGTAAGAAGTTAAAGAAAAAGTAAGAATTAACATATAATAAAAAGTCAATTTTCTTTTGTAGCAAAATCATCATTGCCGCAACATGGAAAATGTTGGCACACTGCGTTCCAAACATTACAGAGTAGCTGTGACAAGTTAAACGATTACGAACATTCTCTTCTTGCCTTGCGCTTAGCAAACTGTTTCTTAGAAGATTCTGGCCATATAACTTATGACTGTCATCTTAGTCAATTAGAAAACGAGCGTCGGTAAAACACATTTTTTTGTTGTCAATGAATTTTCTATATATTATTCTTAATCATGTGTTAATTATTAAAATATTTATTTTGCAGGGAATGCATTAATGAAATGGCAGATCGAGCATTCAGTGTTTACAATGAATTCTATATTCATGCAACTCATATCTGTTTCTTTTTGAATCATGAAGCTTGGCAAACTGAAGTTGATAACACTATAAAGTTGTAAGTGTCTTATAGAACAATATTGTATATATTTTACTATATATTATTAAATATAAAAAGAGAAAAACTTTCATATATATATGTGAATCCAGGTTATTTCAAGTATCTTCACGAATGAAAGATCAGTTATTGGAAGCATCGCAAATGCAGGGTACAATATTGAACAGTCAAAAAGAAGGTTTACGTATTCAAAATGAGCTTTTAGATCATGGCAAAGAACTTGGGACTGTATTAAAGTCTTCATCTGAGACAGTTAATAATATGGTGTTAGATTTCAAGTAAGTTTATGAAATAATTTATATATTATTCAATATTATTATTTATGTAATATTCCAAAATTTTTAATTGAGTAATAAAGATTAAAATATTAATTTTTTAAATCTTGATTAAAATTTAGAGAATCAGCCAAAGATCAGAAGGAGTTGCTTTATGAAATCTTTTCTTATATACACACTTTTCAAAGTTGGATTATTGGAGAAGTGTCTTGGTTTCAATCTATCATATTTTATACTGTCAGCTGTATTCTTTGTGCATTATTCAGTTCTTCTAGAAGAACAGTTGATGCAAGAGTTATACTTTTTAGTATCCTGAGTTTAAATATAGTGGTTGAAAGAATATTAGTCCAATATTACAATAAAATTGTACTTCAATCTCCAGATGACAAGGTAATATAAAGGCAAAGTTTCAGAATAAATCTTTTCATCAAAAAAGTGCTACAACATCTTTTTTACAGGTACAATTGTTAAGTACAACATGGTTGTGTAGAAAAATTGCCTTAACACTTTGTACCATAACATTATTCTGTAAATATTATTATTACAAAGACAAACATTTGGAGAATTATAAGACTTTACAAAGAATTGAACAACAGTTAAATGTCATAGAAAAGACTGTAAATATCTCCAACAGTATTGAACCAATTCGTAAGTACTTAAAATATAACCATTTTATATAATCTAAATAAAATTGCATAATAGATTCTATTACATTTAGGTTATTCCACGCGGCTCGCATTAAGACGTTTGCACGCTGTTTCTAATATACAAGAAGATATCACTGACATTAAAAAAGCCAAATAATTATCTTAATAATTAAAGACTTCACCAAGAAAATAATTTTTATTGGATAATAATTTATGATATAATCGAATGATATATATTTTTATAAATATTTATTTCTTTTTATGCATTTATATATGCCTACTAAGGATGATCTCCATTAAAATGAGAAATGACAAACTATTTTGTTGGATTTCTTCGTAAAAGGTATGTGATTTGCTTATGTGTAAGATTCTTACTGTTAGGTATAGGTACATCTTGTTCGTGTTCAATTTGTGTACGCTCTACATTTTTCATGTAGGTCTTATAACATTGATCCAATGCTTTAAATTGCGGGATACATCTTTTATCCTGAAACTCGTTCTCTTCAAGACACGTTAAAAGCAGGACTGTCTCGTGCAAACATCCACGGTCTGAAAGAAAAATTTGCAGTTTTAGGTAATATTATAATAGAATATTATAAATATTCTATTGTCAACTGTAATAATTAACATTATCATTGGCTACACTGTAAACTAAAAAAACAGTAGTAATTTAATAATTATAAACTTGATTTTTTTATAAAAAAACATACCCGTTACTTTCTGATTTTTTGAGGATACACGATCTCTTAGTTTTAATGGCAGCATTGCCTTAAAAGGTACTTTGTTTTCATTTTGGGGTTCTCTAGCGTTGCGGAAAAATATTGATGTCCATCTCATTTTTCTATAAAATAATATATATAATTGAGAGATGTCTGTAATAAGGTTAACAAAATTTTCATGAAATTGTACAAAATCATTGAATGCTGTAGTTTTTTATATTAATGTGTAAAAACTATCACAATTACTAATAATAAAACAATTTCGATAGTTGTTAATAAATATTCACATACATTAGTTCGTAAAAACTGTGCTGCAAAAATTGCACTTTGGTTATAATCTGTTGTAGTGGCTACAGTGATGTCAGTACTTCTGTCGAAGTTGGTAATAATCGGTTTCTAATGTGCTTCACGTGTACTTACACAGATGGCACTATTATCGTAACTTTACTATTTTATTTACAAAAAAGAATTGTTTCAACTTCGTCTCGTCTTCCCGTTTTTTTTTCTTTTTTGCAATATAAACGTAAGAAAATTACAATACATTATATAAAATTATGATTATTACATTACAGAGCAGGCAACATGCAAATTGTGAACTATATATATGGTAGATTTATATTCTTGGTATATTATTTTTGTTTTATTCCCTTTCCACAGAGTAAATATGTTCTTGCTTTATTTCAAATTTACAGAGAGAAAAGAAGAGGGCACATTTTACACACAAAAATAAAATCATGGAAAAATATATCGTGACAAAACAGTAGCCAAAATCAAACACGTTTCTTTAGTGCTGTGATAAAAGAATCGAAGGACGAATCGCGCGTTCGAAAACACTACCCGTGTGCACATGAACCTCGCTTTATCTTTGTTATTTATTGAAAGTTGAACAAAGATAGAACGACAGTTCTGTACAAACAGGTAATGGCCGCGTTCAGCAGAGAAAGCGCTCAGTTATCGTCTTGTCAACACTTGACGTTGATTCGTTGGTTCTAAAAGTAAGAACCAATCACATTCGATTGCTACTAAGCGGTTTTCTCTGCTGAACGCGACCAATGTTTTCGAACGCGGCCTTGAGGACACGAAATACTACTGCGTGTTTATGGCTGCGGTCGAGAAGACGCTAGAAATGCTTCGAAGCGTTTGATTGACCAATCAGGACACAAAGAATAAAGATTTTTTTATTCTGATTGGTTAATGCAATGCTTTGAAGCATTTCTAGTGTCTTCTTGACCGCAGCCTATGTATGATATATCGTATAGCGTGTAGCTGTAACGTTTAACCTCAAAGCTGCACATGGCAGTGTTATTTCGGCGGTGAGGTCACGAAAACTGTTGTCAGAAAGCAGAAATATACGCGACTGTGTCGAAAGAAACGGAACAGAGGAAAGAGCGAAGTTTCGTCGTCCGGTAGTGATACATTTCATGTGGATCAAAAATGGCACAAGAAAGCAAAAGAAGTAAGTTCATTTCAAAAATTGCATCGAAGTGTTGATGAGATACGACAGAAAGATCGTTTAATCAAATATATTATAGAAAAGTATATTTTAGTGCGTTTTTATTGTAAGAAACACACACACGCAAAGCATACACACACAGAAATTCATATTTGTATAACACATTAAGTTAAATATATTTATCTTATTTTGAATCTTTTATCTCATGATGATTGCATATACATACACATATATACACAGTAAATATGAAATATTTATGACAAAAGATATATCTATACATATACATATATGTAAAATTTGCTGCCTAGCAAACTTTAAAATAAAAATAAGATATAACAATAAAATTGCAAGCTTTTATTGCAACTAGGGTTTGTAAATTCGTTAAATAATTGATTTTATGCTGTGAATGATCCTATGATTTCACGGAGATATTGTGTTTAATTTCAAGGTCAAAAAACTCGCTGTGTCATAGATAAAATTAAATCGAAAAAAAACTCGCGTTCTTGAGATTAAAATGCGGCGACCTCGCACATACATTATGCGAATGTAAACTCAACGATAATATCGTACGATGTATTTTTATCATACCTTTTTTTCTTTCTCGCATAACGTCGTATTTGTGAGAAAATTTATTTGCACGATAGCTGAATCACAAGATACTTGTTTATTACCACGAGACATATATATATATAATATTTTTAATAATCTTACGCAATTCGATAATTAATATCTATTATACATCTACTCTTCTAGTATTGTCACTTTTATAAAGATTATCGTGGGAATCGAATGCAACGATTTTATTAATGATATATATACGATAATGAATATTGAGAAATTAAAGTTTAATTTTATTGGATTAAATTAATAAAATAATTTTTAATTTAATAAAGTATATAAATCGTTCATGGAAATCATGAAAATTTTAATATAAAATACAAGTAAATTATTATTATTATTATTAGATATTTATAATATTGTTATTGCTTTGACGAGTAATAAATAGCAAATACTTTAGATATTTTTAAGAATTATAACAGAATTCTAGAATCATAAAAGAACTGGCTTTAAAAACAATTTAAGATTTTGAAAGTTATATTACATTGCGAATGAAAAGTTAAGTATGACAAAAGGAAAAGTTTTTTTGTTGGACTGTCGTTGAACCGAAACCGATATCTCGAAATCGGAGGAAGGTGAATCGCTTGATTGCTCTTTTTCAATTTTGACATAACTTTATTTAAGTATTTCGCAGTTGCGAGTGCAGTTCATTCTAGGTCATTTTGAAAAGTAGGTTTGTGCCATTATTTTTTAATGCCAGAGGCACATGTAAGAAACAATATTGCACAAGTCTAATTATGTATGTTTCCAACTGCCCGTCATTTATGGCGACCGTATTACGTAAGAATGTCTTAAATATCAGCTTTTTTTTTACAGAGACTGCAATGTGTGCATTTATATATTTTAATCAATACACAATCGTTACATTTTACGCGTATTTCAAATATATAAATGTTAAGAATTTAAATTTCAACGTTTTGTCTCGTACTTTGTCAATATTTCGAAATCATTTTTAATCGCTATGCAATGTTAATAATTGAACAAAACGCATTGTTGCAATCTAGAATACAACGATTATCTGAGAAAATAATTTTTTAATTTTTTTCAAAGAACATATTTACACAAACAATACAAAATTATATAATAAAATACATAAAAATGTATAATAAAGTCGTAGTAACTTTAATATAATTGTTTAATGATAAAAAGTGTGATAATAATATATATGAATTAATATAAATGATAAATCTGATTACATTTCATCAATGCTGATAAAAAATGATTTGCTGTAATAGCAAAAAATGTCAGGATTTTCGTTAATAAATTCATTGCCGCGAAGTTTTTTAGTTTTAATTCCCTCAAATTAATACACTTCTTCTGATCAATCCCTTTTTTCATGTTTCGACAGGCAGAATAGTACTGTTACATTAATTTGAAAATAAGATAAAATAGAAGAAAATAAAATTTTAATTTTTAGACGCAAAAATAAATATTAAAAAAATTTATTACTTGATTTCTTTCTTTATTTTTGTTTTTGTATCCATGACCTTGCGCTCAACTTTTATTAGCCCGTTCTTTGCTTATTATATTAGAATAAGTTAAGCTCAAAATGAAATTAATTACGGTCAATTGGATCTTCGAATTTCGAAAATAAAAATACGAGAAAACTTATTATATTGCGGTGACATGTATACAATTCAAGAGTCGCATTCGTTGGCATTCTCAACAGTTGGCAGTTGATATATTAATTTGCCAATCATCCTTATCGCAAAGTAACGTGCATGCTACGAATGTATATCTACGTATGTATAGTTTATGTGCTTCGTTTCTCTCTTATATTTTAGCGTTTATAATTGATGTATATATACAGTAAAAACAAAATAATTATATGTTAGAGCAATTAATTAATTATTATTATTTGAATTAATGCCATAATACGTCTGATTCAGAATATTTTTATGTATTTATTACATCAAAGATGGTCATAAATAATCAAAATGGTCATAAATAATTATCTGCTAATATCATTAATTACTGACAATTCGAATATATTTTTTCATTTCCTATAGCTATTTTATGTTTGAAGACAATGCATCTTACCATTTAAGAGAACTCTTACGGGCAATCTACATCTACATTATCCGTAAGATTTCATTTCCTGCGTTATTTCTATTATATCTTTGTAATTCTTTTTGTTGCACAATGTTGCGTGATCATCCTCCCATTTTCTGCAATGCTTAGATTAGTCCGCAAACAGTTATTTTGTTGACTTACATCCGTCAGTGTGATTTCAGCAATCATTGGCGCCTTTCTATTTATGGAGAAATAGTAAATACTATTACGCGAATTGCAGAGAAGATTTGTTTAAATTTAACAGTGTACATTACATATATGTATACGCGCATATATTGTGGCACGCGCAGGAACAAGACTCGATCATCATGTAATATTCAATATATATATATTCGCCAATATATTATTGCATTTGTGCAAATAGTTATAATTCGCGATTTTTAATTGTACAAACAAAGATATTTCTGTAATAGTAAATTAAAATTTTGCTCTAGATAATGGTCAATCGCATATCAGATTTATTGATCAAATCTTATCATTTCATCGCGTAAACGGAATGCTTCACAACCATCACAATTTAATACAAAAACTCATTTAATTTGCATCTGTGTTTAAAGATTGTTGGATATATGCCCTGAAAAAGAGATCAATATATCATTATATAATTACGTTTTTTTTTAATATTATTATTTTAATTGTTTATCCTTGCTATGTTAATTGTAAGCATTTAATTCCGAACGTCAGCGATGAAACTCTTTTTTTGTGTGATAGAATAATTTGCTATTTACATTCCATTGATATAAATATATCCTTGATATAATCAATTTTATTTATGGATAACGATTATGCGATCAGTTGATCGTCAGGAATCGTCCACAATTGCCTCGTAAGCGTTTACGTTTTCTTATTGGCACGTGGCATACATTCGAGGCTTATCCGACGTTTAGTCGAAGTTCTGCTAGTGAAACGATAGGATTGTCAAGAGAGATCGGCAAGATCTGATAGTCACATATCTTTAATTTGTTTTCCGTGCAACTTGCTCGTAAACCATGAGTATTCCAAGTAAGTTGGAACATGAAATTATGCTTAGGTGTCGTATTTTTGTGCGACCAAAAAATTTCGAGTTCAAAATATTATTTGAATAACAAGTATGGATATTATTCCAGTGTGGTATTATATTATTTTATATGTATACCGAGAATCTTATTTACTAATTAATTATACTACTCACACATAGCAAAAATTTAGCTTTTTTTTTCTTATTTATTAATTTTTTTGATAAAGGCATTAAAAACTGGTAAAATATATACTAATATATATTACATGTCAAGAGAACAACTTCTTTTTTTTTTTTTTAATTTATGTTTACCTTTACCTGGACATAAAAAGTCACATGACTACTAAAAATGTAAATGATAGACAATATAAAGGTTACTTCTAGAATATAAATACGGAAAACAACAAGATTCCGTTAATCTTTTAAAAGTTGTGTTGAACAGTGTTAATGGTGCAGAAAACTAAAGCTAAGTGTCTGTGAAAAATCAAAATTTTATGTATAGTTTCTGTATAAGAAATTTGATGTATTGTGAAAATGTTCAGTAAAAGAGAAAGAGAGATGTTGGTTTCTTGTGTGGAACGTAAGAAGTTTTGTATTTTATATAATAAATATCTTTTCGCGCGTGGTTTAATTTCCTATTGCGAAATATCTCTGGTTTCAATGAATAAATCTTATATATAATCATTACTTATTTCGTACAATACTAAATACTACATGTAAAATATATATAGTCGACATAGTGACAATGACATTTAATGTATGTGACGTAATCATTACGATTATCATACGATCAAGAAACTGCAAATGAAGAAATGCAATGAATAGTGATTATGTCGCGTTTGTTTGAACTTCATGAATATCTAAATTTAAATATAAATTTTATGTAATAATGAAATAAAAGCAATGACATGAAGTAGCAATGACATGATTTTAGTCCATAAAGGTTATATATATATATATATATATATATATATATATATATATATATATAATATATATAATATAAATCTTGTCTCAAGTCTTTTATGCGAATATAATTCTAAAGGTTTCTAATCTCTTTATCACCTAC